CGTATTTGAAAATTGAGCCCACCTTTCCTGTTTTGCGCGTTTAATGATTATACCGGCTCGATCTTTAGCCCTCCGAAACTCCCATTCATGAGCTCTGCGAATGCAATTACGAAAGGCACGCATAGCCCGGCGTCGCAGGGCTAATGCGCGCAGACACTCATCGTTCTACCAGGGCGCATGTTTGTGCCCTGGTCGACGATGAGTGTGTGGAACGAACTGGTGCGCTGAGGCTAAAATATTGTTTAGAAATGTAGGGAGGTCGGGCGTTGTGCCTGAGGGGTGTGCCTAATCTATATAATTTTGGAAAGATGCCCAGTCCGCTCTGCGAACATTCCATCGGGGAAGAAAACTGAAATCTACTTGCCCTGATGGAACCTCTAAATTCGTGGATCGGGTAGCGGTCACTAAACAGTGTGCCTGACTGAACATTGTGCGTAAAGAGTGGTGTCATGCGTGGTGTTGTCAAGGCCGCATCTATACCCGAGTATGTCACTGTGCCTCCGTGGTGATGTGCATGCACGTAGTTGTCAGTTCGTTGATACATATGAGGTCATGAGTGTCCATGAGTGTGTGTAAAACTCTCCCCCTTGCTTGTGTCGTGCTTCAACCCCATGCGCGATGATGGGCGTTCAGATCCCCAAGAAAGAGACAGGGCGAAGGAATTCGTACGAGTAAGGCGGAGAGATCAGCTGAGGAGACAAGGCTAGTGGGGCCAATGTATGTAGAAAGAAGAGTAAGATCTAACTGTGCTAATTTTACGTTTATTGCAACTGAATTGAAATGAGTACTAAAATGAACCTGACGATGCAAAAGGTTAGTTGACACAAACAAGGCCGAACCGCCTCGGCGCTGGGTTTCGTTTACGTTATGTATGTAGAGGTAATAACCGTTGATCTTAAAGTTATAATTAAAAGAATCCGAGTCGTTACATAAGGTCTCTTGGACGGCGGCTATCAATGGCTTGCTTTTGATCATATATTCCTTGAATTCTGCCCAATGGGATACCAGAGATCTCGTATTCCATTGGAGCAAGAATTCACCGAACTGGGGATTCATTTAGGGCAGGGAGGGAGACCATCCTGCGGAGCGGCAATGAGAGAGCGATCGAGGGGCGCGACGGCGGGAGCGCGTAACGGGTCGGGCTCGGCGTTCGATTGGGGGACTGGCCCGGGGGGTTGGCGTCGGGAGCGCGGCGGCTGGGGCATTGGATGGGCTCCTTGGGACGCCGGCACGGGTGGAGTGGACCAACAGCGACGTGTTGGGGTGGGAGAGAGGCTCTCCCAGTTTGGTGGGGCGGGTTCCTGCTCAGGGAGGCTCGCAGCCGCCGGGTTCGCTGTGACTGGGTCGGCTGGCGCGGGCTCGGCCGTACGCCGCACCAGACACGGCTGACCTGCTGGGGAGGGCGGCGTGCTGAGGAGGAGCGTTGTGCTGAGGCACAACGCTGGTTCGGTACCTCAGGCTCCTCTACAGGACGTGGAGGAGGGACGGGGCGCCGCCGCGGAGCTGGTGTTAGAGGGGGAGGATGAGGGTACGCCTCCCGCGGCGTGGGCCACTCCTGAGGCTGGAGCACTCGGACCGGTACATAGGCCGCTGCCGCCGCCTGCTGCTGGCGCTCGCGCAGCGCCTCGCGCTGCACATGCCAAGCGGGACAGGCGCGACGGTCCCCAGCTGCATGCCGGCCTTTACATGTGGCGCAGCGCGGGTTTTCCGCGTCACACTCCCGCGTGTGATGAGGGTCGGCGCAGCGGCCGCAGGTCGGGCGCGCAGCTCGGCAGGTCCGGTCAGCGTGGCCGACCGTTGGCACGCGCGGTACTGCTGGGGAGGAGGGACCCAGGCCTTTACCGGGATCATGAAGTACCCGCAGTGGATGGCACGTTGGAGCTTTAGCCCCCTAAATCGCAGGCGGACGAGTGAGTTGGGGCCTAGGCCGGGACGGCGGGAGGGCAGGCGCATAACCTCGCACACCCCCTGCTCGGTGAGCTCCTCTAGTAGCTCGTCGTCCGACAGCTCGGTGAGCTCCGGGCTGTAGACGACCGCCTGAATGGTGTTCAGGCGGTCTGCGATGGTGGCTGTGACCGCCCGCCCCAGAAAACTGCTCAATTTGAGCAGGGCCTCTGCCCGACGCTCCAAAAAACCCTAACTAGCAGGGCTCCCGACCGCAGCGGCTTGGCTCCATCCACTTCACCGGTGTGGAGCTCGAGCTCCCGACGGATGGCAAAAGAGTTCGTCGTGCGGTAACTTTTTCCGTCGACGTTCCTGATGAGCACGAGGCTCGATCCCTTCGAAGGAGAAGTGGAGGGGGGTACACAAGCCCCTCGCCGGGCCGGCCGCCGGAGGGGAGATGTTGATGACATCTTGGGTCTTAACCTTAACCTTAACTTAAATTAACTTATGAACCAGTTATTACAACGACTTAAAACTAAATAACACAATTCCGACACACATTAGGCTGTCGTCAGCACAAGCGCGGATCAGTCCACCAGCCCCGTCGTTATTACAGCGGCTGGCAGGTGGCAGCACTTCCCGGCCGCGGGAAGGGGCGGAGCCTAAATTATGGCGTGAGCGCGGGACGCTGAAGGAGAAATACACTAATTACTGTTTTGAAATTAAGATAGGCGAGACGGAATACAGTAAACGCTACCATGGCAATATGTGATGGAATCTTAACAAAAATACCGCAACCACATTGCCCAACGAAAGAAAACTAACGCAGAAACGGAGCAAGCCGAGACACCACCACCGCGAATCACGCCACAAAGCAGAAGGCTGCCAGCAGAACCAGTGCAGTTCTGTTATGTCGCCGCGGCACCAGTTGTAGAATGCCAGATTTGGTCAAAGATTTAGGCTATCAAGGACGCTAATCTAAATAATTCCTATAATAGATAGCCCGATATCATGTGTCTACCAATGTTGATTTAAATGGCAGTATTGCAACAATCATTGATAAAAAGCAGCATATAAACTCGCTGCTGCCGGTACCAATTTCACATCTAGTATATTCTGGTAATATCCTGCCGCCCAACCTGTCGTCATGAGGCCTTGTCCTGTAGCCGTGTTCCTGCTCACCAGTTTTGGGAGCTGCAATCATGGAGGCGAACTGTCAAAGACGCCCTCCGTCTGGCCTCTGCTTGCTGCATTAATGCACATTGTTTTGCCACATTTTGAAAGTGTCTGGGTTCAGGCCCATGAACAGATGTGTCTTACGTCTTGTGAGTTTGTCTTGTTACTACCTAGCTAAGTACAGACTGAAACAGTTATGCACACCCCTGACGAATCGTTAAGTATGTTGCACATTTTTGTCAGCGGTACCTTGTGAAAACAGTTCGTTTAAAACAATTTTTTCTCTTAATTGGTTCCTGGCCTGTCTGAGTCTGTCATGTGAGCTCAACCTCATAAACCACACCACTGCTTTTCTTGTTGGCGAAGCAATGAGCTTCGTTGGTTTCCATGTGCCTCATTTCTTTGTCCTGGCAATTTACTCGCTGTAACACTGCTCTCATGAAACACATTTCCGTTGATCCGTTAAGTTAGCCCTTCTAATCTGGTAGAAAACCTTCGTAGTCTTAATTTCATTACTTCGTACAATTACCTTTCCTTGAAACTGACATTGACGAATCTACTCCTTCTTTCGCTTAATTTCGTTGTTTCGCTTTGCATGAAGCTTCTTGAAACTTGGCCCACGTTGTATAATTTAGTGCTCAGCAGCGGTTTGTGATACATCAATCCACCTAGCAACGGACTTGCGATGTTCGTTCAATGTGATTGATCATCATCCACAACAACCAATTTATCAAGGTTGAGAACACAAGCAGATAGGTTACAACTATGCTGCGACACATTACTTAAAATCATCTTCCTTCTAACACAGTTGAACGCGGGAATATATATGGCGCCGTGTATCTTCATTATCGTTACGACTGCATCCAGAAGTGTACATGTACCTGGAGCCCTCCTCTTCGCACAAAAAAGATCCAAGGATTCTATTAATACGGAACGTAATGTGATCCTAGATCCACCCTTGGAATCAAGGCACAAATCTGCAGAGAACTGATCACAGAAAGCAGCTCGGTGGGGCTAAAGGAGAAGGATGACCGCGGTCGATATCTTAGCGTCCTTGGATGATTTGCGGAACTAAAAATACTTTCAATCGCTAGCTCCACTGACAGCAAAGCACCCGTAGTTTACAAACTGTCACAATCCTTTCTAATATCCTGCGAGCGCCCGTGATTTGTGTACGCTTCTTTCCATTTTTCGATAGGCTACCGCTGCCCCCCAGTATGCCGACCCAGAAAGTCAGCGATTTATGTGCATCCGCAGCGCAAGACATTTGCATACAAATGCACCCAAGCGTTAATGACGCGCGAATACGCACGTGCCACATCCGTGTGGGCGCTTGTGTGTAGCGCGCGGGCGCGCGCGTGCGTGCGTGTGCGTGCGTGCGTGCGTGCGTGTGTGTGTGCGTGCGCGTGTGTGTGCGTATGTGTGTGTGTGTGTGCATACGTGTGTGTTCGGGTGGTCGGCGCCAGCTTCGATGCTGACGTACAACCTTTTGCGACCGGTGGGAATGCACGCCGAAGTGAAGGAGATCGTCTCCAAATTATATTAGTTGGCAATCAAACACGGATTTGATCGCATTGGGGCACGCCCAGATTTGAAATACAAGACACCAGCGTGGTGAGCCAGTAGCGTCTGCCCCTCTAACGCTGATCACATGTTAATGTCGTTTACCCAACATGCTTGGTAGACCTCCGCGTCGAATTGGAAAACAACTTCGTCGATTTCAATGCACCACTTCTCATATGCTGTCCTAACGCATTCTACAATGTGGCAGACTCAGCATACAGCATACCAGTATCAGTGCTATAACAGCAACAGTAAGTCGAATAGATGATAGAAAACTGACAACGCGAATTTCCAGAAAGCCTGCGGCGCTGCTCTGTCGGTGAACCATCCCAGCTACGGGCTATTTGGGCGGCATGGGATGCGGTTGCCTGCCGTACCTGTTTACGCTGCGGTGCGCCGGTGCTGACAGCTCTCAGCCTGGCCTGGCTGCGGCCGCCCGCCTGTCGTATGGCCTCCATCAGGTCGGACCGCGACGGAGATGACACCAGCTCCGACGGCACTGCCTGCTGGCAAACAGAACAGGCTGATTTGCCTGCCCAAACAAAATGTGAAGAGCGGTCACTTATGTTTTCATTTCTGTTATTGGCGGTCCCCATCGCCAAGACCAGCTGCCAGACACTTCCGATGTTTTCTCTCAAATGGGTCCGTGTCTGGCTTCCCTGGTGTGGACTGAGCGGCGGCGGCGGCAACCAGTTCCTCGGTACGTGAAGTGCAGACCCTAACACAGTTCAGGCTCTGAGGCGGAGATGTTTTCTAGCCGGGCCCAGATCTGCAGTGTGCGTAAACCCCGCACAACATTGCCACCACATGACTCGGTTTTAAAGCCGGGCTCAGATCTGCAGTGTGCGTAAATGCCACACAACGTTACCACCACATGACTTGGTTTTAAAGCCGAGCCCAGATCTGCAGTGTGCGTAAATGCCACACAACATTACCACCACATGACTCGGTTTTAAAGCCGGGCCCAGATCTGCAGTGTGCGTAAATGCCACACAACATTACCACCACATGACTCGGTTTTAAAGCCGGGCCCAGATCTGCAGTGTGCGTAAATGCCACACAACATTACCACCACATGACTCGGTTTTAAAGCCGGGCCCAGATATGCAGTGTGCGTAAATGCCACGACATTACCACCACATGACTCGGTTTTAAAGCCGGGCCCAGATCTGCAGTGTGCGTAAACGCCACACGACAGTACCACCACATGACTTGGTTTTAAAGCCGGGCCCAGATCTGCAGAGTGCGTAAACGCCACACGACATTACCACCACATGACTCGGTTTTCTCGACTGCATGACTCAAAGGGCTAATGTCTGCGATTTTATTAGTTACAAATATTATGTATCAAGATTAACATACCTTAGACTGCAGTTCATTCTGGCTAATGAAGGCAAACAATTTTGCATGACAATAAAATCGAAGCACGTTTTTGCGTGCCAGAATTCTACAAATGTGGACGAAATTGTTGAAAAAATGTCAAGCATACCTTTGATCAATGTGCATTCAAAGAGCATGCACATATGCAAATGTGGAATGAAATATAATTTCAATGCAGTTGAAGTTACACCACACTCCAAAACTTCCTAAACTGCTCACATCCTACAGAGTAGGTCACAAATGTAAGGTGATTCAACTACCCCTAAAAATCAGAAGCAAGCCTGACTGGTCCACTTTTTACATGCTTTTGGAAAAAATGATAGAGGTCACTGCCATAATGGTTCATTGCCGTGGTAGCAACTTAATATGAACGAGCTCAACCATGCTGCTTCATAGATTATGACTGCCACCAGACACAACATTCTCTACCGGACATCATACCATCATGCAAGCAATGGTGAACATAACTAAGCCTTTGGATGTCTTACAGCCCTGATCGTGACGTTCGTCGTCCTCAGCCTCCACGCTCATCTCAACCCCCTCATCATCGCGCCCGGCGTCAAACCCACAGCTGTCGTGCTGCGCGGCGGCTCCACGGCAGAAGGCGGCGGCGGCGGCGGCGGCGGCGGCGGCGGCGGCGGCGGCGGCGGGGGCGGCGGGGGAGGCGGCGGCGGCAGAACCTGCGGCTCCGTTCCGGGGCAGCTGGGCGGCGCAGGCGCCGGCGCCGGCGGTGGGGGTGGAGGCGGTGGCGCCACCTCCAGCAGGCTGTCGTCCAGCTGCAGCGGCAGCTCGGGCAGTGGCAGGTCGGCAGCCAACGCCACCGACGGCGCGATGGCCGGACCAAGGTCGGTAGAGAACGAGACATCGGCCGCGATGCCAGGCAGGTCGGGCAGCAGCAGCGGCGCCGCCAGGTCCGGCACGGGGCCCAGGTCGGGCCGGTACGACAGCGCGTCCGGCTGCCGCACAGGCCAGGTCGAGTCAGCTCACACAACACAGGACTGACGCGCCGGGACATGACGGCGACGACGGTGTTTAGCACGATCCAAATAAGGACGCGCAGCTTACCGAACATCTAACGACAATAAGCCACACTGATGCTTCTAAAACCAAGCTCAAAGATGGAAACGGCAGAATGCAGGTTTATGGTGACATGCTGAGCAATCTTTAAAATCACGTCAACACAGGGGTGTATTCAAAGGCACCAGCATCATCCCACGCTTCTATTGTAGGGCACGCGGGCGGGACACCGTGTCCTTGCGCACACGATCGCGTCGCTCCCGGCCGAATAGCGCGCCTGCCCTCACCAGCTGCTGTGCGGCGCTGGCCGGCTGGTCGCGGTACATGGAGACAGGAGCCTCGGCCAGTCGGCCTGCCGGGCCGCCGGCGTCGGCCGCTTGCCGGCCCGGCGCCCGCCCCCGCAGCGGGTCCGCGCCGGGACCGCCAGAAAATCTGTCACAGCACCGTCAGCATCACCAGGTGAGCCCCACGCGACAGCCCCATCAGATCGGCCCTCAAGAGGCCAGAGTAACTCTCAAAAGAATGACATGAATGGCGAATGGGTTTCAACACATAGCCAACATAACGTGACTAGTTGGCAGCTGACGTTTTGCGGCGGGGCATACTGCTTTCTTTAAACAACCACGTCAAGCTTCTGTACTCCACAGGTGGTGAGAGTCAGCCTTGGTGGTATTTTGACAGCTGAAGCATGCTAGTGATGCTCATCATCATAGTTGACCAACAAAAAGTGAAACAAGATTTAAACACCAGTCAATCACGAGCAAGTATGGTGTGGCAGCGTACACATTCCTGTCTGTGTTGAACACAAGGAGAGAAGTGGCTGACTGCAGACAAGGGGGTGGCTGTCGAGCAGCCTCATTCTCTAGCTCCTCCAGTGTTGTGGTCTTCACATGGAAAAACTGCAGCTTCTCCTGAAACAGCGACAGATGTGGTAAAGCACTTGCAGTCCTTAATGGAACCTGGCTGCAAGGACCCAATACAGCACAAACATTTCAAAAGCCTGTGGTAATATCAATGTCAACAAAAACTGCAAAATGTGTGGGGAAAGGCTTACCTGCATTGGTGGCTGAACCCATGACTGCTCATTTGTGCTGATAGTGTTAGTCCACTTCATGGCTGCCTCATACCCAAACTCATCAAAGCTTTCTACCACTTCGTCATCACAACTGTCTTCAATATGCACAGGAAACTTGGCACTGGAGAACATCTAATAACAAAAACTCTGGTGAGTGTCAAAAATCACTAACTCTACCAGCAAGCATGAACATTTCTGCAACTTTCAAGCTGGAGTCATCAGTCTAAGAGCAAATATGATGGTCTCATCTCTCCACACCTCAAAAACCCAATAACTGAATTTTTCAGCTCATTACATAATACCAGAATTTTGATGCTCTCAATGGTTTCACACAGTTCAAGGATTGTCCTGTTTGTGCTGTCTGTTGGGCTGAAAACTATGTTACCAATATCAGTAGTAACAAAGAAACACAACATTTAACAGATTTCACACCTGAGCTGTTGCATGCTATATAGTAGCATTCCTTGGATATTTCCCACAAAGCTTGTAAGACCAGAAGGCTAAGGTGCTCTGACAACAAATCACAAATGTATTGGAGATACAACCATGCTTACCTGTATTGCTTTACTCTTATTTTCCAAGTCTTTGATCTGTGACACGACAGACTCTGTACGCTGTTCAATCAGTGCGAGACGAGCCCGACTTTTGTTGAGGCGATGTGACACTCTGCTGAAGACTAGGTTTGTGACAGATTTCAAGTGATCCAGTATGTCTGCAATCTGCACTAAAGTCTCTTGTGGCTGCAGATCACATGTTACCAGAGGCACAGAACCCACATCCTCCCCAGCCAGATGCATGATGATGGCTCAGCAGCCACAGTGCAGTGCTGGTGCTGAAACCCCAGAAATCAGATTACAGAGCTGACAAATGGATGCCGGCAATACTAATGAAGAAGTGAGCAAAAAAAAAAACAACAACAAAAATACAAACAAAAGATTTAGTTCACACAACAGACCAAGTAAAAAATCAAGCAACACAACACCTTGACCTATTTTTGTGGTCACACACCATGAAACTTAAAACATGAAAATACATGGTTGACGCTACCACTGATGAATAATGTAGCATACTGAGGAAAACAAATAACAGCTTTAATGTATTTTTGCCATGCTGTAATTTATTTACATAAGAAATTTTCAAATCATTGATGAGCAGTTGGTGGTTGCAAAACATGACAAGTCTGCAAAATGTGACAGTTTTGCAGACCACAGACTTTGCTGGGACCAGGCTGGAGCACAAAACAATACCTGGAGCAAGTACAAATTTTTTGGGAAAATTCTCTTATGTAGGGCACCTTAAGTTATTTTACAACAGATCATGGTACCCTGGGATGTCATTAAATGGGGCACAGGTTCTGCAGCATCACTAAACACACTGTAATCTGTGCAAAAAAAAGAAATGGCGTAGGTATACATTGCTACCTAGTATTAGAAAAAATCACTGTACACCATTTGTCATGTTTAAGGCGGAACATATCGTAAACAACCTTAAAACAGGTAGATTCATGCTCCCACCTTCATATCTTAATATTTACAATAGCGAGCTCCCGAGCGCTGCACGCACCTCACCGCCTCCACTCCCCAGCGCCGTTTCTGTTGCTGTTGCATAATTACAATATTACTGCTTATCAAGAACTATAAAAAAATGTACAGGACCAAGGTCACAATAATAATGCGATGAAACACATTTCTCATCATGTCTCGGTAAGTTAACAAAATGGACAGGCCAGAATAGTCCAGAACATTGCCTAAGCTAAACTAGCCTAGCCTAGCCTAGCCTAGCATAACCTAACCTAACCCAACCTAACCTAGCCTAGCCTAACAACCTTACCTAACCTAACCTAACCTAACCTAACCTAACCCCCCACCCTATCCCCTTCAACCCAGTGTCCCATCCCCACCATGTTGACCAATCTACAAACAATATGAAAGACTGTTTGGATATGCAACACATTTTATTGAATTTTTCTTGCCTTGGCCTCCTATGTTTTTAAGGTTCTTGATGCACAGTAATGTTGTAATCATGCAGTAATGTTGTGATCATATGTAGAAATGGTGCTGGGGTTGTAGTTGCTGCATGTTTGTGCTTGGGTGTTTGCTATCTAGTTACTTAAGTTCCAAGGTAAGAGCTTAGATGACCGGGTTCATGATTAATTACAATATGTTCTGCCTTAAAAACTGATTGATGTACAATGCTCCTTCTTAACATGAGGTAGCAATGTATACACTGACCAAAGAAATGACATCAGATGGTAGGTTCAGATGTTGTTGTTGTCATGAACTAGGGCACAGGCAGCAGAAGAAACCTAACATAAAACATGGCACATTATTCTTGAATGAATGATGGTTACATAAATTACAACCATATCATAATGCTGAATGTGCACACAGCAATGGCATGACCCATCTGACCAGGGATCTATCAATAGCACTTAAGCACTCAGGCAAAAATGTGATGTAAGCATAAAACCTTTTGCCTTCATAATATTGCAAATTTAATGATTATTCTGGAGCTTAATAATAAAAAAACAAATATTATAATACAAAGTTGCCAGGTTTCAAACAGCAAGGGTGCTTAATAGCTGACAGAAGCACAAAAGATGGTTATGAAACTGTTCAACACTTCACATGGTAATTAGACCATCAGCTCTTCCCCTAGTGAAAATGCTGGCTGACTAAATATAAATCAATGGGACAGGACAGAACCCACTCTAAGCATGTTGACTGGTCTGCCACCCTTTGCAGACTGGGCATCATGCCATTCCAAGTTTGCATACCCATCTCAGAATGTAAAATGACCTACAGGCACCCTAAAACTTTTACACTTAGACATCCATAAAAAAAATTCTGCAAAACTTTTTCAGTGCCAGTGCAGACACACTTTTCTGCGTGACAAACGCTTATTTCTATTCATATCATTCAGAATCAGATTCCGATTAATTTTGAATTTTCAGTACCCTGAGTTAAGCATTTTGCCATTTTCAACGCGCTCCCACCTACCAAGTGGTGCTACGCGTTATGTTCAAAAAAGGTAACACCTGTAATGCTTCGAACCATACGCCATCGCGACAAACATCATATGCGCGCCGCCATCTTGACAGGTACCGTTATGGACTGTCTGGGATGATCCAGGTTGAATGGCAAGTCGTCTTCCTATTTGCCTGCCTAACTCTGTGCGCCTGATAAGAGCTCTTCATGAGCCTTTGTTTTGGGCTGGTCCAATATTCGAAAATGGTAAGTCAATGAACGCACTTAAACCAGTAGCACTTGCAGCATGGGTCGGATGACGTCATGCATTGATTTTGTTAGCCAGCATGCAATTGGCTTCTTCAGACACCTCCAACGAATCCGATAGCCCTTAACAAAATAGTGACCAATGACAGAACGTTTTAGCGATCAATACGAAATTACACCAAGATGGCAGCTGGGTCCAGAACGTCGTTTACGTTGGTGGCGCTCCTGCGATTAGTGTGACGTACAATGGCTCGGTGTGGGTGGGGGTTGTACGTGGTGGTGTTTGGCGCATTGTTGCTTGACTTGTGACAGACGTGCTGATCGGAAAAAGATTTTCAGGTACACGCGAGGTAATTCAAACTTTTACGCTTGAAAAGCTAACATTGGCACCCTAGTGGACGGTTAGAATGTCGCTTGCGTGTGTAACCTATCTGCTTCTGGTGGCCTGGTTAGTGAATGCATGATTTGTGGGTTGCGCAGATGTCAAGACATACAACATGAGGTTTGTTAGATTAATTGATGAAAATCAGGCTTCAATCTGCATTATCTTGCTATGTATAATTAAGGGATTCACATTTAAGAACATTTCTGTTCTGGACCCTTGTTTTGAAAATCAATGTGCAGTTTTCAAGAAATGAATGCACATCCCAAAAACTTACTTAAAGAAAGATGGTTGCCATTGAACTAGGAACCTCTAGGTGAACTTGGCAAGGATGATTACATATAAAGTTTTGTGCATTGTTTCAGCTTACCCTGTTAGGTTTTCTTAAACATTTCCATTTTAATTATGGCAGAACAATGTTAGCATAACCCCATATGTACTCTAACCAGTTGCTGCTGTGTCATGCCATTCACAGCATGCAATAATAGCATAGGATTTTGTTTTACTAAGCACCACAGCAGATCACCTCACTCCACTATTCAAGCTGACAATTGCCCAGGATATGACCTAACCTAACCTACTCTTATTCTGACTTCAATTCCTACTTCTTCCCATGCCTTGACCAATGCTATCATTCCTATCTTCATGCTTGCCCCTACCCATGCCCCTACCGCAATGCCTGCTCTCACCCCAACTCCTATTTCTACCTCAACTCCTACTCCTGCCTCAGTCCCTACCCCTATGCTAACCCCAATGCCTTCTCCAACCTGGACCTCTATCCCAACTCTTACTATTATCCGAACTCCTTCCACCCCAGCCCACACTCCTACCCCAACTCATACATGTACTCACCTGAAACCAACTAACTGAAAACATACCTGAAACATGCCTCTACTTGTACCTACTCATACCTCTACTCTTACCTGAAATCCTACCCAAACTCTCTCCTACTCAAACTCATACCCAACTGCTGCTCCTACTCCAACCCATTCTCCAACCCCTACTATTACCACAACCCCTACTTCTACTATAACCCCTACTTATACTACATCCCCTACTCCTACTGCAACCCCTACTTTTACTGCATCCCCTACTCCTACTACAACCCCTACCCCTACTTCAACCCCTGCTCCTACTCCTAATCCTACTTTTATCTCAACCCCTACCTCTTTCTTGCTAGCACAAAAGTGGGCTTTGCCCCATGCTCAGCTAATGCATCAAACCCTTGGCTGACCCACCTACTAATAATTTAGTTTCAAGGGTAAGATGGTGCATTGCTGCTGTTGTTTTCCACTGTTTTCCATCACTGGGTGGTACAGTAAAGTAGTCCAGAGAGAGAGAGAGAGAGAGAGAGAGAGAGAGAGAGAGAGAGAGAGAGAGAGAGAGAGAGAGAGAGAGAGAGAGAGAGAGAGAGACAGAGACAGAGACAGAGACAGAGACAGAGACAGAGACAGAGACAGAGACAGAGACAGAGACAGAGACAGAGACAGAGACAGAGACAGAGACAGAGACAGAGACAGAGACAGAGACAGAGACAGAGACAGAGACAGAGACAGAGACAGAGACAGAGACAGAGACAGAGACAGAGACAGAGACAGAGACAGAGACAGAGACAGAGACAGAGACAGAGACAGAGACAGAGACAGAGACAGAGACAGAGACAGAGACAGAGACAGAGACAGAGACAGAGACAGTCCAAAGATTCCCTTTATGGTCTTTGTATAAAGATGAATGGGTTCTGAAACATGTTTCCAGCATCAATTAGCACTAGACAGATGACTGCACCCTTAACATCACTTTTGCATTAACAGTGATGTAGTTTGCTGCCATTGTGCATGTTTTTTTTGGGGGGGGGGGGAGAAGGGCTTTCAGCTCTCAACTTTGGGAGCAAATTTTGCATGTATGGTTGAATGGAAGCCACATGTTATTTTAACATGATTTAAGGTACATCTTGCTACCCAGCTGTTTCAACACTAATTATTTTGTTTTAACATTACACTCATGGTTTCTGGAATTCAGTCAACATACTGTTAGGTGTAAGATTGTGCCACACATGAAGGAAACACCAGGTCACAGAACATGGCATTGTGGCAGACTGCAAACCAAGTCAAGAATGGGGACAGGATGCATAGGGTGGCATGAATCATCACACAAATAGGGTAGCAAGCTATCTCATTTGCAGCAGAAATGACTTGGGCTGCCTGTGCTAAAAGGAACCCACCCCAAAATTTGCATTCATAGAACATCATCAACCCAGGATGACTCTAGGCAGGAGACCATGCTACCCAATGCCATAAGGTGGCAGCAGGCATCACTTCAAAAGTTACTCTCCCAAGATTTTTAAAAACAGAACCAAAGTCCTATGTTGTGCCATTGCTACTGTGTCAAGATCTTGCTGAGAACTACCATGACTGCCTGGTAATCACAGGCACTGCAGCTCTTCTTTGCTGTTTTTAACCTGCACAGTCCCATGTTTAAGGTTTCTGTAACATAGGTATGTTTAAGGTTTATGTTAAAATACATGTTGAGCCATTCAATCCCATGTGTGAGGGCAGACCAATTCCCATTTTCCCGCACATGTAAGCTGGGATGCGAGATTTCGCTGCTGTGAAATACCAGGTGAGGTTGACATGTTTCCATGAGCTAACGGACTATGGCTGAAGGTTGTGGGAACTGGAATGTCACAAGGCTGAATGTTCTTAATGATAAGCATTGTGGGTAGCTAATGGCATACCACTGGCATGGTTCTCTCCATAGAAGAGGATAAGTGCCTGTTTTGGGGAAATGGGGTTATTTAGATCATTTGATGTGGCTCAAAGATACATCTCATGTTTTCAAGTATAAAAAGAGTAGGAAAATCTGTTTTCAGCATTTGCCAAGACATTTTCTGTAAGTACAAAGACGCTCAAAACAGCGATACCACTCCTGTGTCAACACCATGTGACTACCACTGAAACGAACAGCTCAAACAAATACAAAAATCAAGATCCAAAAACCAGGAATGAGTATCCTGAAGTATGCCAAGGAAGTATCTGAAACATCCATAACAACAAGGGTTTTGAGATATTAACCCATTTTTAGAATCTGTGAAAGAAAGCAAGAAAATGGTGTCAAAATAAAGCCACTGTGCAGTGTTGGAAATTCCAAGAATTTCCCTGGTAGCAGAGTACAAATTTTCTGTAGTGGAGTACAGAATTATCTAAGTGCTGTGGGTCACTGCAGTTTTATTTAGGTTATCTTTGAGAGATAATAGTACATTGAGTGGCACGCGACAAAAGCACCATTTTTCATGCACAGTAATTCATGTAAAAGCACTTTAAATGAAAGGAAACATCAGTATTAAACATGGCGCACTGAAACAACGCAGTCTCGTACTCTGTACTATGAAACATATGTGCATATACATTGGTTTTCAATTTATGAAAGGCCCTGTGTATACACCCCCCAAAACGGAGGGTAATTACGCATTGGGCCTACACACTCTCCCAAATGGAGGGTGGGTACACACCGGGTTTATACACCCTCCAGAATGGAGGGGGGGGGGGGTATATGGTACACAAAAAATGCAAATGAACATGCCACAGATGGCCACCTACTCATGCTCTACCACGATCACGCTACTCACGCTCCACCACGGTGACGCTACTCACGCTTCACCAACCGTCTGGTTTTAAAAACAGCTAAACATTCATGCCCTCCACATTCCCACTCCCGGTCAACACACGAGGCCCTGCACATCCCACCCGAACGATAGAGACAGGCAGCACTCAACCGATTTACCGAGCCAGCGCAAGTACAATGCCTGACAGACCCGTGCAGGCCGGCCAAAAGGGATCGAAGTCAGTCACTCCGCTGACTCCGGCAGATAATGCAAGGTATTGATGGATTTTGATGCGCTTTAACCGATATCATTGCGAAATATGATAATTTTTGTTGCAATAAATTGATGTTTTTGTCCTAATAAACCATTCTCCTTAATTTGCTGGGCCAAAGTTATGGGTTCATGTTACTCTGGTGTCCTGATGCTTTTGCCGGAGTGAGATGGCTGTCTCCGAACAGTTTTTTCTTTTGCTATTTATAGCAGCGTTTTTCGACTTAAAAAAGTATTTTTGTAAAGCCTGCATTGCCAGCTATAATTTTACACCATTAAGTGACAAATTGAACTTGGTTTAAATCCACAGCTGCCGTAACATTTTTGCACTCCGGACACCAGTAAGTGGCCAAAAGCCAAACGCATGGCGGTTCTGGATGAGTACAACTAAGTCCTTTGTAATCATGATGCCCATCTCTATACAGGTTCCCTCCAAATGTTTACAAATCTGTCCAAGGCATGAGCACGAACAGAATATGTATGTTCTTGACAAATCAGTCACGAGGAGGCGAATCATTAAAACCAATTGGAGAGTTTTGCTGTGTTCAACCTACAACGTGAGCTGGGAGGCGGGTGCAAGTCGCTGACGAGTTGAGACGTTTCCGGCGCTGAATTGCGAGTGATTCTCTTATTTGCATTGCCGTGACACGGTGGTGGCGCGTTGGTAGGCGGTGGTCTGTGGTAGGTAGTTAGGCGTGTGGTTTTCTATGAATGTTCGTTGCATCTTGCCAATTAATGCGGTTCGTCGTCAGTGGTAGGTTAAATTATATAAACCTGTAAGTTAGAGTTGGTGTGCATTGGCATAGGAAGTGAGAGCTTTGCGAATCTACGGGAAGGTGCGATTCTGGTACTTGTTTCTCATTTCCCGGTATTGTTCAAAGGTGGTTCCATTTAACATTCACATGCTTTATTTCTCACATTTCCATACGTGGTTTATCATACACCTAGGTGGCAATGCAGGCTACTTGCTATTGGGCATCTTAGTCTGGTGTGTGCAAGACTCTTGCAGGTATTGTGCTCTTGCAGATATCAATGCATGGCTCCTGATGGAAACAGCAAGTCTCAAGCTGTTGCACCTTCTGGTTGTATTTTGTCCTGACACAAAGAGGTAAAATGAGTTTTTCCAAAAGCTGTTGTTGTTGCAGGAATACCAAATATTTCATTTTACATAGTCACAATCCTGGAGTACAAAATCTCCTGGTATACATTATACCAGAAAATGTCAAGTTTTCCAACACTGCCACTGTGGGCATAGCAGATAATATGACATTTTTCTGATGGTGACCATGTGTATTTTCTTTTTGAAGGAGTACATGGATGTTTTATTGTGGTATTTAATGAGTGAGTGATGTCATTAACTGTGGGCAGCCCATACAACAAGCCAACATCAGCATCACTAGACAGGACATGTTTTATTAAGACATGTCACAAAACATCCATCTAAGTACACAATAAGCTGTTTCCAATTCCTTGTTTTGGTATATGTCTGTCAAAAATTTTCCTGTTGTAAAGTAGCTTGTCCTGCTTCATTACAGGATCAGATGATGAGGATCAATGGTAATTACTGCAAACACTACTCAGATGTGTTTTATTTATTTTAGAAACATGAACGTGGGAGCTACCATTTTTACATCAACCAGGAATATGTTTTCAGGGTAATTCAACATGAAAAGCAGCTCCCTGTTGCAACAAGATTACCAGTATTTCAACAGCATGAGTAGTGTGTCCAGATGCCTTCTTTTCTGTGTCAAATTGCTGCACCATAATCTGCATGTGATGGCATCATGCATGATGACATTTGATGTGAGGTTTCCCTGGTCAGGTATTTTGTTATGACAGACTGAGCCAAGGCCTGCAATTTCCTCAGAATTTCTATAATGGGTGTAATTATGTGTGTTGCCCCAGGTTGATATAGACATTACAGTTAGCTTTATTCCTCATAGAATGACCAGGAGAAAGTAGAAGGAGATGTTTTGATATTTCAGCTACATGCATTTATCAAAACAAATGTGAGTTGTATCTTCAAAATTTAGAATTGTCCACCAATTGCACACAATTTTTGATTTTTTGTATATGTTGGTTCTACTTGATTTTGGAAATTAAGTGGTATTGGGAGTTAGTACTGGATTTTGAGTTTGCTTCTGATGTGTTCTGGTAAAGGCATGTAGCTGAAATATCAAAACATCTCCTTCTACTGTCTCCTGGTCATTGATCCACCATGATCCATCCATTTCTTCCTTCTCCTGGTCATTGGTCCACCATGATCCATCCATTTCTTCTTTCTCCTGGTCATTGATCCACCATGATCCATCCTTTTCTTCTTTCTCCTGGTCATTGATCCACCATGATCCATCCATTTCTTCTTTCTCCTGGTCGTTGGTCCACCATGATCCATCCATTTCTTCTTTGTCCTGGTCATTGATCCACAATGATCCATCCATTTCTTCTTTCTCCTGGCTATTCCACAGAGAATAAGGCTAACAGTACCATCTCATCGATTGCATAATACTCCTTGCACATGCACTTCATTTACATCATTTTGTTCCACATTTGTACATCTGTCCCAAATTATCATCATGCTGAGGGGTTTAGTAGTTTATTCAAGGTATTTCATATAATGTTTTGAAATGTGATGGCTCAACTTCTTGTGATGAAAAACATTGATGCATAATATGGTAGTACAAACAAGTGCTAATGTATTTACAACATGGCATTGATGAACTGCAGGTACAAAGGATGACATAATGTCAACTCACCTGTTGCAGATTTTAGGCTAATGGAAACATCTCCCAGCATTGAGGGCAGCAACACCACTCATGAGATTTTCCCAGCTAAGACAGAGCACACAGCAATACGGAAGAGTTCGCTGAGCAAGTATTTCCCTGCCCGCCTTGGCGATGTAGCTCGTCAGGACACCATGCTGAGTGACACACGACCGGCGGCCGAGGCGATGGCCTCGTCGCGGCCGTTCGCGGCGGATGCGCGCCACACGGTGGGACCGCACGGCGACGGTCGGCCGCTGGCGCAGGCCGGCGACGCGGCCGCGCTCGAAAACGGCGGCTTCCAGCAGGCGGTGCTGAGCGACCTGCGCCGCTTCAGCACCGAGAGCGAGCACGAGCTGCGCCACGACGCGCGCGTCAAGACGGAGTGCGGCGCCGACACGGCGTCGCCGCCGCCACTGCCGGCGGCGCCTGCAGACGAGACGCGCGACCGGCACGTAAAGACGGCCCGGCCGCACAAGCCGCCAACCGGCCGCCGGGAGTCGACGGCGGAGGGCAGCGCGGTGCGGCCGGCTGTGGCGGCCACGCCGCCGGCGGCCGCGTCGCCGCAAGGGCCGCAGCCCGGCTACCAGCCCAAGAAGGAGATGAAGCCGGTCGACCTGTTCGGCGCCTGCCGCGGCGCCAAGGCCGACGCCAAGCACGTAAACGGCGGCGAGCGCGGCCACGGTGGCAGCGAGCGCAAGAAGGAACACCGGCGTGACAAAAGCTGCCGCCGCTGCCACGAGCGCAGCCGGCTCAAGCGCTACAACATCGGCGTGCAATGCCGCCGCGACAAGGGCCAGGAGCGACTGTCGGCAGGCGGCGTGCCTCGGCCGCTCGCCTCCAACTACACCCAGCACGGCCTGGAGCGGCACAAGTTCGGCCGCTACATGCACATCGAGGTCGATCCGAACGGCGGCGCCACCGTGGTGCACATGTACCAGGACCAGATCGGCGCCCTGGACCCCGTCCAGACCCAGCAGCTCGTCACCGAGTTCTTCCAGGTGCGGGGTTCGCTCGTCACGGGGCGTGGTCTCGCTGTGATTTGGCATATGCTCGTTGAGAAACACGTAAGTACAAACACGATGGGAATCGAGTGGGACTTTCCCAACAGATGTGCAAAATCCTGCCGGAAAATCGCTACGTGCAGTCCAAGATGGTGGTCGCATGTTCCCCTGCGGGTTCCTGTGAGCGTTGTATGCTCCCCTGTGGGTTCCTGTGTGCGTCGCGTGCTCTCCTGTGGGTTCCTGTGTGCGTCGCGTGCCTCCCTGTGGGTTCCTGTGTGCGTCGCGTGCTCCCCTGTGAGTTTCTGTGTGCGTTGCATGTTCCGCTGTGAGTTTCTGTTTGCGTTGCATGCTCCGCTGTGGTGTCCTGTTCGCGTTGCATGCTCCCCTGTTGGTTCCTGTGTGCGTTGCATGCTCCCCTGTGGGTTCCTGTGTGCGTTGCATGCTCCCCTGTGGGTTCCTGTGTGCGTTGCATGCTCCCGTGTGGGTTTCTGTGTGCGTTGCATGCTCCCCTGTTGGTTTCTGTGTGCGTTGCATGCTCCCCTGTTGGTTCCTGTGTGCGTTGCATGCTCCCCTGTTGGTTTCTGTGTGCGTTGCATGCTCCCCTGTTGGTTTCTGTGTGCGTTGCATGCTCCCCTGTGGGTTTCTGTGTGCGTTGCATGCTCCCCTGTGGGTTTCTGTGCGTTGCATGCTCCCCTGTTGGTTCCTGTGTGCGTTGCATGCTCCCCTGTGGGTTTCTGTGTGCGTTGCATGCTCCCCTGTGGGTTCTGTGTGCGTGCATCTGAATTCAAATGAGCGGCAAGGGTGACGTCCTTGTAGGGCGTTGGTTGTGTGTTTGCTGTTTGTCTGACACGCATGCGTGTCTGCTCAGGAGGTGTTCGCGGAAGACCGTCACGGCTGGGCGCGTCACGTGATGGGTATCGTACACGGCGCTGCGCAGTACCTACCCGACCTGCTGGACCACATGGGCTCCAACTACCCCAACATCACCGTCAAGAACGGCATCATCGGCAGCAGCAACAAGGCCGACATCGAAACACAGACGCTGGCTTCCTACAAAGAACAGGTGGGTGCTCATGCCCGGCGGAAAACCACATTTTGAGCTCGATAGCGTGGGGATGACTGCGGCCGCGGTTGCGCAACTGAACCATTTTACCGATGTTCTTAAATTCCTAGGGCATCCAATGCAGTGCAAGAAAATCCTCGTGGTTTGCGTGTCCATCAAGGTGCGCTTATCGAGTTGGTAGTAGATTTGTGCGTGCAAATGCGATATATTGCTTAACAGGCCGAATTTGTCCTAGTGTGTGTTGCGACGTTGCATATGTGCAAATGGTGGCTCATTCTTCTTCCGTTCTTTAATTTCCTGAATTGATTGACCCGAGCAAAAATAGTTTTGTGCTGCTGAGCTGCAGCAGTGTGCTTAGTGCTGTCCTCAGCGTGCACTGTATGGGAGGCGAGTGCCCGGTAATGGTGATGCTTCCGTGATGGTTGCGTTTTAGTCCACACCGGTGTGGTGAAAAACAAAGCACATATGGCAATGTCGTAGTTGAATTTTTGTCTGTGTTTGGTTTGTAGATCTTTGTTTTGAAATGATTTCTGATTGTTCTGAAGAACAACAAGGAAGCACATTTTTGGAGGCCCCAAACCCTTTCGCTGTTAGCTCTTTCACCAACAATAAATCCTTACGCCGTTAACATGATCTTATTCTGTCCCATGGGTTGCGGGTAGTTGTGGGCTTGAAGTGCGTGCTTGAAGTGCTCGAAGTAAAACCATCGGGATTTTCCTGGTTGCGCGATGAGAGGGGTGCAGGCAATACACTTCCTCATTCTGCATAAAAAGACTTCGTGATGAAAATTCTCTGGCGTGATTTTGTGGGACCATTGCATGCAAGTGTACGTAATTATACTTGGGTTCTTCGATAGGGGCGTGACAGTTGGATGGTGCAATGCAGCTTTCGTCCGCCTGGTATGCAGGCTGATAGCATCCTTCCAACAGTGTGTCTGTGCTGCTGAGATCTTCAGGCCAAACGCTTACCTTATATCTTGAATGCAAAGCCATATCCATGTTTAATTTTAGTTTTATGTCCACTGTTTTTGGGGAATGATGGTGCCGTGGCTTCCCCCGCCGCCGGCTCTATCCTGCCGTCGGCTCTACCCCGCCGGCCCTAAGTCGATGAAAAGGTACCGTTGTGGGGGCAAAGTGCGGGATGAGGATTGAAAAGGGCAAAAAAGGTAAAGATGCATAATGGGTAATGGGGGAAAATAGGTAAAAATGTATTGTTTAAACGAAAGCGACGTTATCAAGCAAACCGTGGCTACGTGGACAGAACTCGACGTTTCAGACTGTGCTCAGGATCATAAGTGACCATGAGCATGGTCACGCGTACTAGAAAATCAGGACCCTAAGGCTTTCTGGCTCCTAGCGTATTTTCTTTATGCAAGCTAATAAACCGGAATAGTTAAGAAAACGGGACAGGCGCGGCGCCGGTTTCCCCGCACTTTTCCCGTTTTCTCGCGGTCGTCACAACGCGGTGATCCGCGGGCGCGCCCCTGCCGAGGCTCAGTGCCGCCCCTGACAAGGCTCGGTGCCGCCGCTGCCGAGGCTCGGTGCCGCCCCTGACAAGGCTCGGTGCCGCCCCTGCCGAGGCTCGACGCCGCCCCTGACAAGGCTCAGTGCCGCCCCTGACAAGGTTCGGTGCCGCCCCTGCCGAGGTTCGGTGCCGCCCCTGCCGAGGTTCGGTGCCGCCCCTGCCGAGGCTCAGTGCCGCCCCTGCCGAGGCTCGGTGCCGCCCCTGACAAGGCTCAGTGCCGCCCCTGCCGAGGTTCGGTGCCGCCCCTGACAAGGCTCGGTGCCGCCCCTGCCGAGGCTCGGTGCCGCCCCTGACAAGGCTCAGTGCCGCCCCTGCCGAGGTTCGGTGCCGCCCCTGACAAGGCTCAGTGCCGCCCCTGCCGAGGCTCGGTGCCGCCCCTGACAAGGCTCAGTGCCGCCCCTGACAAGGCTCAGTGCCGCCCCTGACAAGGCTCGGTGCCGCCCCTGACAAGGCTCAGTGCCGCCCCTGACAAGGCTCAGTGCTGCCCCTGACAAGGCTCAGTGCCGCCCCTGACAAGGCTCAGTGCCGCCCCTGACAAGGCTCGGTGCCGCCCCTGACAAGGTTCGGTGCCGCCCCTGACAAGGCTCGGTGCCGCCCCTGCCGAGGCTCGGTGCCGCCCCTGACAAGGCTCGGTGCCGCCCCTGACAAGGCTCAGTGCCGCCCCTGAGAAGGCTCGACGCCGCCCCTGACAAGGCTCAGCGTCACCTCTAACGAGCTTCGATATCGCGTTGCAGGTGCACAAGCACTACGACCGCGGCACGTTCCGATACGGCCCCCTGGACCACATCAGCCTGGTGGGCACCGTGCACGAGGAGTGCGGCGGCTACTACCCGGAGCTGCTGGCCGAGTTCGAGCGCAGTCCGTTCCTGCGCGCCGTCATGCCCTGGGGCCCCATGTCCGTGCTGCACAAGATGGACCCGCGCAAGTCCAACGACGGTCCCATACTGTGGGTGCGACCCGGCGAGCAGCTCATACCCACCATCGAGCTCGGCAAGAGCCCCTTCAAACGGAAACGGTGGGTGCCGTGCAGCCGGTTTGGAAAGACGTGGCGGAAGGTCGCCGACGGGTTCCGGGGAAGCGCCGCTGTCTGTTTCGTGGAACTCTGCGGTGTGGAGTGTTTGCCTGCCGAGGTGGCTTGACACGCAAGAAGGCGGATACGCCATTGCAGGTCAATGTAATATGGCATGCATGTAAGATAATTTCCGACGAATTTTACCAGCTTGTAGCCGCACTGTTTGTGACATTATTGGTTTGTGACGAATGACAGATTCGTGTGCCGCGTCATATGCAGCAGATTAATGTGGCAATGCGTCGTGCTCGTCGTCGCGTGTTCTTGGGCGTGTGAGAGCCAGCGTCTTATGTGCGCGCGGGATGAGTCCAGCCCACGCCGTGTTGGTATGAGTTGGGGCATGTGTCAACGCGGTGACTTGGCCAGTATGCGGTGTTGAGCGAAACCAGGACGGCCCGGAGCGCCGGCGTGGGCTGTTGTGCTGACGGCCGCCCCTCCCACAGGAACGCCGCCATCAACGAGCTGCGCAACCTGCAGTACCTGCCGCGCATCTCTGAGGCGCGCGAGATCATGTTCGAAGACCGGACGCGCGCGCACGCCGACCACGTGGGCCACGGCCTGGACCGTATCACCACCGGCGCTGTCGGTCAGTGCAAAGGCGCCCGCCGGCCGGGCCCGGGGCCGCGTCACGTGGACGGCTGGCTCGTCGCTGCATGATGACGATGTCGGTCGACCTGTGTCGCGCACGACGTGTTCAAAGAGTGCTGCGCTGATGACATGCTTAGGGACCGATGCAAGTCCAGGAAATGGCCGGTGCCGCGTGTTGTTTTCCCGGTCGAGCTGCAGTACGTTGCCAAAAATCCGTGCAACATGTCAGACCTTAGGATGTTCTCAGTGTTGCACCATTGGGTCCACTGACCTCGTGTGTTGCTGTGCAGGCATTCTGAAGGCAGTCCACTGCGGCGAAAAGTACAAGTACAACCGGATCACGAAAGACGTGGTGGCGTTCCACGCCCAGGACTTCAACACAATAGTGGAGAAGCTGCAACTGGACCTCCATGAGCCGCCTATGTCGCAGGTATGGTGCGCCCAGCTGAGCCGACACATTAGGTCAGGCGCGAGCGTTCGCTGCGTCACCATGCAGCGTGTTCTTGGTCGCACGGCACGAGTTGCGTGCGGCTGGGGCGTTTCCAGTTAAGCGCTGTGGATCGAAAGGACTGCTAGGTCGCTTCCGTCAATTTACGCTCGTCTTGGTAACTGCCGGGAGATGTCGCACGTTGTAAGATTTGTGAAAACGTCCGTTTTAAAAAAAAAAATCCTGCAACGTTCGGTTAACAGAGAGCTGGGTCACGCTCTGGGTGGTCGTTAGCCGTGCCGTGCCTGATGGACGCAGCGCTGGTTGGCTGAACTTGAAATTACCTCTTACCCGTTAGGCGGCGGCTTCGCCTGTTGGGCGATTACCCCGGTAAAAGCACTTCCGATCTTCCCAGCCAAGAGGTTGCATCAGCTGTACAGCAGAGACTCTGGAACGTACTGCCCCCTCCCCCCCCCCCGCCCCGCGTGCTGTGGCTGGCCCCGTGCCGTCACTGTTTTCGGCCGCAGACCATCTACTGGGCTGAGGACGCCAAGCTAAATCAGCTGCGGAGGGACGGTGTGCGCTACTCGCGGATCCGGCTGGCCGATAACGACATCTACTTCCTGCCCCGCAACATCATCCATCAGTTCCGCACCGTCACCGCCGTCTGCAGCGTCGGTGAGGGACGGCAGTCGGACGCCGCCGCAACCTTCTGCTCAGCCGCTCGAGGCCCGTTGGCCGAGTACCTGAAGGTGTTGCCTGTGACGTCACGGGTGGCTGTGTCACGCAGGAACGACTGGGGCCGAAGTGTGGGCCTGTCGTGAGGGAGCTACCTGTACTAGCAGAACCGACAATCGCGGGTGACTTCTTGGCCGGTGGAGAACCGGCGTCAGGCATGGCGGGCAACAGGCAGCTCGAGCGCTTTCGCTGCATCCCCGGCCCTTCTTGTTGTGCGCAACAGGTCATGTTCACAAGGAACACACAACAAAGTTTTCGTCACCTAGAGCATGCTGCCTTTCTCTGTATTTTCTGCGCACAAAAGTCTGGTCTGTTCGGTGTTGGCGTGCATAGTTACATGATGCGTGGTTCGGGAGGGACGTCCGCCAACTGGAGCCACACCGGACAAGAAATCACCATTTCAACTGTGTGGAAATGTAGAAATGAAATAACTGTCTTCCTGCTGACAACTGATCCAGTCTTCGCAAAATGCATACACACTGCACCTGTACTAACATGATTGTCGTCTGTTTGACAGCGTGGCACGTGCGGTTGAAGCAGTACTACCCGGACGTGGAGGAACCGGAGCAGAGCGAGGCGGCGGCGGCGGCGGCAGCGGCAGCTCCGCCGACTCCGCCGGCCCCGGAGCAGCCGGCCGCCCAGACGCCGACACCGGCCTCGACGCCGCAGTCAACACCGCACTCGACGCCGCACTCCACTCCGCGCTCGACCCCGCACAAGAAGAAGAAAAGGCACAGGGACCGGGAGGACTCGGAGCCGCGCCGCAGCCATAAGTCGCGACCGGCGAACGGCGAGCGGCCGCGGTCGGGTTCCACACCGTCCGCGCACCGCTCGGCCGGTCACAAGTCGGCGCCGGCCGCCAGTCCGGCCCGCCAGCCGACCGGCCAGTTCGCCAGCCCGGCGCCCAAGGAACTGACGCGGTCGGCCAGCCCGGCGGCGGCCAAGGAGGCACGGCGTGTGGACAGCCCGGCTCGCAGGGAGACGAGTTGTGTGGATGGCCCCGCGCCTGCTGAGTCTGGCCATGTGGCCAACCCGTCGTCCGCGCAGGCGGTCCGTTCGGCCAGCCCGGAGCGCCAATCAAATGGCTCGGCCTTCTCCAGCGGCGCAGCGTCGAGGCAGCCAGCTGACTCGGTCTCTGCTGCTGCCGCCGAGCCGTCGGAGCAGCCAGCTGTCGGCGCTCACGGCGCTCCGGCGGAGCCGAGCAGCGTGAGCTCCGAGCTACTGACGACCACCAATGATCGGTCGAGCCAGCCGGCCGGCGAGGCCTCTGAAGCGCCGACCTACCGTTCACCGGAGCGGCCAGCGCCGTCGGCCGGCCGGACGGCGGCCTCTGCCGACGCGCTGTCGGAGTCTGGTACCGCTCCGGCTGTACGCCAGGCCGCCCCGGACGGCGGCGAAGCGCCAGCCCCGGGCGAACTGCGACAGTTCGGGGCCCACGCCGCAGACGGCAGATAACATGGCCGCCGGTGAGTTGCCACCAGAGGTCAGCCGGTCGGCGGCAGCACTACCTGAGCCCGATGCCACCAGCTGCACGCCCAAGTCGGAGCCAGGCTCTGCCAGCCCTGCTTCGCGCGTCGAAGTCGGTAGTCCTTCGCAGGAGCCGCGGGCTGGGGGCAGCTGTACCATACCAAAATATCTGCCTGATGCGGACAGCCCTGTCCCGTCTCTGATGGATACCGGCAGTCCGGTTCGGAAGCCACGGACCGAGTCCAGCAGTCCAGCGCTCAAGTCACGCACTGAATGCGGCAGTCCCACGCCAAAGGCGTGCGCCGATGCCAGGAGTCCAACCTGCAAGTCGCGCACAGAGACCGTCAGTCCGGTCCCGAAGCCGCGAACCGAGTGCAGTAGTCCGGCTCCAAAGGCACGGACCGACTCCGGCGGTTCGTCGCTGCACTCCGGCAGCCCAGCGCGTAGGTCGCGGTCCCGAGCCGGGCAGCGGCGCCGCGCGGTCGAAGCATCGCTCCGAGTCGAGCGGCGGCGTGTCCAAACCGCGGCCGGCCGGCACCGGCGCCGCGCACAAGCGTCGTTCCCCGACGGACGGCGGCCGGCCTCGCCTGGAGCTCGGCTCGCCGGCGCGGCCCGGCGACGGCGCCGATCCCACCCCGGGCAAGCGGCCGCGCCTTGAGAGCCGACCGTCCCGCGGCCCCGGTCCCGGCCCCGGCTCTGGCTCTGGCTCTGGCTCTGGCTCTGGCTCTGGCTCTGGCTCTGGCTCTGGCTGTGGCCCTGGCTCTGGCCCCGGCCCCGGCCCCGGCCCCGGCTCGGGCTTGGGGTCCAGCTCCGGCGCCGATCTGCTCGGCGACATCCTCTCGGGCATGGACGCCCTGAAGAAGTGAGCCGGGGACGGCCGGCCAGCACCGCCGCACGACGCACGCCTTTATACACGCTTTGTCTGTATATAGGGAGCGGTGCGTGTCGCCCTGCGCCATGTCGGGGTGCGGACCCTCGCTATCGGGACCTGACGCCGTGTACAAAGGATGTAGTAGGCTCACGAGCGCGATGGCCTGTTCGCCTTGGAAACAAGGCTGATTGGACGACGCTGCAGTATCTACGCCCGGTGGCCTTCGCAAATAGTCATGTTGACCGACTTTGTCTAAGTTGTGGTTATCGGTATGTATTTATGTAGACCCTTCGTGTAATGTTAAGACTTCTTTCCTATGCATTTCATGGCGGGTTGTGTGATGCTTGTGTAGACTTGTTGACTTCATCCCTAGCATTATATTATTTTATTCTGGACCTATCGAGTTACGTGGAACGTTTTTGTTTCGTTGGACGTGACAGTTTGTCTTGATCTCTAGGTCCAGCACGGGTGCTGTGGCGACGTTTGATTGCTACGTGTGTATGCTCTGTGACGAGAGTAGGAATACATAAGCTACTTAGTCTCATACAGGCGTGTTTATTTTTTAGAGCGCCCCACAATAGTGCGGCATGTGACCACACGACCACAGCAGTGCGCGGCACTGCTGCCTGTGCCCCGTGGATGACGCATCTAGGGTGTGTGCGTGTGGGGGGGGGGGGGATCTGGGGGGACCTGACGCTTCCGACACCTGCGACCCCTCTTTTTGGCCAGTATTAGCCAGGACAACAACGGCCGACGGACTTCACACGTGACGTGTAGGAAGTGAACTGAAACAAGAACACCTAGAGTTTTGTGCTAGTGTATTTTGGCAATGCCCGTGCGGTTGTCCCTGGTGACTCCAGTAGGACAATAGCCATGACCGGCACGTATGCTCTCAGTCTGTGTTGCCCCGGCAGCATACGCTGCACGAACGAGCATTCGCGTCGGAACTGGGGGCGATCCGGCGAGTTCGTCGGGGGGGGGGGGGGGACTCGAGGGAACAAGCGGCGTCAGCGAAAGGTAAGGAGGAGGGGAGCAAAGCCAAGAGTTGCGTAGGTGGCAGCGGAACTCCCAAGCATTAAATTCATATATTTTGTAGGCTTCTCTCGAAATCGTCAATGACTGCGCGCATTGGACCCTGCCTCGGCCGGCGAGTGTCACTGGGCTTTGCGGCACAGGCCTCTGCCGGATCCGAGTTCGTTTTATTGTTCGTGGGTAGGCTGGGGCGGACGTTGCAGCTGTTGGCGGCGTGCACGTGGCGCCGACCGCAGGGAGACAGCCGCCGGGCGAGTCCCGCGGCCAGGCAAGGTTATGCGGCAGTTACGATTTGGACCATAAAACGCCTTGCTCATTGACGATTATAATGAGCATCGGTTGGAAGATATGGAAACGTGGCACATACCGAATCGTTTTACAACGCTCGAACGCGGGCGGCCCCCGCAGGGGCACCGGCTTCGGTCGGTGTAGGGGACTAGCGCCCCCTCGGGTCCCAGCTCCGGTAACGGGTGGACAGCGCAAGCTGTTTCTCTCAGGGCGTAGCGACCCTGCCGGTACGTGAGCTCCTGCTCCTTGTCCCGCCCGCTCCTCCCCCCCCCCCCCCCCACAGGGGCACCGGCTTCGGCTGGTGTAGGGAACTAGCGCCCCCTCGGGTCCCAGCTCCGGTAACGGGCGGGCAGCGCAAGCTGTTCCTCCCAGGGCGTAGCGACCCTGCCGGTACGTGAGCTCCTGCTCCTTGTCCCGCCCGCTCCCTCCACATTACCCGCACTCCCGCATCGGGCCCTATCACCACTCCTCATCCTCATTTTATCGAGGTCGCCGTGCCCCCTCGCCCACGTCCCCGGGTTGATCGGATCCTGGTGGCTGAGGGGCGCGTCGTGCGGGTCAGTCACGGCGCGTCCCAACACTCCACTTTCGCCAGGATATCCGGGGGCGTGGGGGGGCCGTGGGGCCCCACACGGGTCTAGCGGCTTGTCGCTCGCGTTGCGGTTGGGTGCTCTTTGCGGGTTTCCGCTTGGGGCACCTGGCCGCGCGCCGCGGCTTAAGGGGTCAAGGGGCGGCGGCGCTGAGCCACGGTCAGGACGGGGAGGGGTCTCCCCGGTTACGCCTGGCCGTGTGGGAGGCGTTGTTCGCCCCGTATAGCACCGGGGTAGCCCTGGCGGTGACCACCTCCCTAGGGAGTGTTGGGACGTCCCCCAGTTGGGCTCCGTGGTGGGTGGGGAGCCCCGGTGCCGAAATGCAAACCCCTTTTTGCATGGCATCCTCTACCTTTAAAAACACCCGACCTCTGAAAGGGGGGCGGACCTCGACAACTCCAGGGTGCAGAAGCAAATCTGCTATCCCCGGACCACGGATCCTCGTCTTCGGAAGTGACGAGATTAGGTTGGCGTCCCTGTCACCGTTTCAGAGAAAAAATGGCTGCGACAAATTTGGAAAAATTCTAAGATGTGACAAGCTCCGGGATGGAAAAATAGAAGCTGAATTTGCTAGTGACTTGGAGGCGAGTCGGGCTATGGAAGCGACTGATTTTTCGTACAGTGTTCGAGATGGGGCTGGCAAACGCGAAAAAAAGTGTCAATGTCAGCCAACCACACAACACGACAAATTCGTCCCGGGGCGTGGTGAACCGTTTTGATGTGCGTGACGTTGACGAGGAAGACATCGTGGAGGAGCTCTCGGAGTTTGGAGTGACCGCCGCTCGACGGATTCTTGTCAGAAGGGGAGGAGAGTTAGTGCCCGCGAACAACCTTATACTCACGTTCAGTCGCCCCGACATACCATCTGAGATATGTGTGGGATACGTCCGCGTAAAAGTTCGTCAGTTTTTGCCTAACCCCATGCGGTGCTATCAGTGCCAGCGATTTGGTCACACGAAACCCAACTGTCGGAACCGCGCATCGTGTGGCAGATGTGCGTCCCTCGAGCACATGAGCGAAGAATGTACTTCTGACAAACTCCACTGTGTCAACTGCGGCAAGGACCAGGTTCCGCACATGTCCTACGACCGTGCATGTCCAGCCTACGCTAAGGAGAAGGAAATCATATCAATCAAAACTTCTAAAAACGTATCATTCCGTGAGGCTCGAGAACTTTACAACGAGACCCACCCAAAAACATCGTACGCATCGAAAGTGAAAACTTCGTTACCGAACACCAACGTGATCGAGGACATGACGGCTGTCCAATTTCTGGAACTTTTGAGATCGTTTGACCTATCAGTTCTACCCTCAGCACGCGCCCCGGACTCACAGCCAGCACCCCAAGCTCCCTCCCCACCAACCGAGCAGTCGGTGGCCGCCGTGCTGCCGGCCTCCTCGGCACCAGTTGGATCGCCAACAAATGACGGGTGGACGACGGTTCGGCGTGGCCGCAGCTCTCGCGCGCCGTCCGGTATTCCTTCGTCTGAGAAACCACCGGTCTCCTCATCACAGACACCCCTCACCAGTGTATGTGAACGTGTAGCAGAGACGATGGAGTGTCAAGAAGCTGACAGGCGCGCCCGCGAAGCCAAACGAGCGCGTCTAGTTGAGCAAGAGAGGACGAAGGCGATTAGCCAGCTGCCAGGGGCAGATCAGGGACGTGCACCCGCGGGGGAAGCCGGTCCACCACCCAAGGCGACGCGTAGAGGCCCCTGGTGGATCATCCGAGGTTCGGAAGCCACTGATGGGCCCTCCTCCTGCACCGCCATCGAGGGTCACGTCTTCGCCGGCGCCGTCCCCGTTAGATAGATCAAGTCTTTTGAGCCCACAACTGATCAACCATTTTGACTGGTCGGTGTCAGACGATCCAATGGGAAGTGACCACTTTCCCATCTGGATCAAGTACCGGGCTGACGTTTTTCTTGGTTCTGGACCACAGCGCTGGAATTTTAGAAAAACCGACTGGACTGAGTTTCAAGCGAGGATCAAGCACTCCCTTACTATGCAGCCAGCGAGTGAAACCCCGTCGGTAGAGGATATGACATCGCTGATTTTGCGGTCTGCAGAAGGGTGCTTACCGCGAACGTCGGGCTGCCCTCGTCGTCCTCCTGTCCCATGGTGGACGCAGCAGTGCCGGGACGCAATCTGTGCGCGTAGGAGGGCCCTTAGAAAGTTTGACCGTCGGAGCACTACTGAGGATCTTATTGCATTTCGACGAGCACGAGCAGCCGCTAGACGTACCATTCTAGAGGCTAAGCAGACATCGTGGCGATCGTACGTCGGCCAACTAAACTGCCAAACACCTACATCCAATGTATGGGCGCGGATCAAACGCATTGCTGGACAGCACTCGTCTGTACCACACACTGTGCTCCGTATCAATGGACGTGACATTATACACCCAGCTGACGTAGCAAATAAAATCGTCCGCGCATTCTCCGAACGGCGTGGTAACGGCAATGCCGTCCCGCAGTTTATGCGTCGCCGGATCCGCTGCGAGGCATCCCCTGTCGACTTCAGCACGGCGGAGCAGATGTCGTATAACCGACCTTTCACAATGGCCGAACTAATTTCCGCGATCGGATCGCTGCGCAATGTGGCAGAGGGTCCGGATCTAGCTCACAACGCCATGCTTAAGCAACTTCCCACTTCAGTAGTTGAGGCCCTCTTGGCAACGTACAACAATCTCTGGGAGAATGGAGGTTTTCCGGAGTCGTGGCGTGAGTCACATATTGTCC